ATTTCATGGACAAGTTTGGCTGATTGATGTCTTTATTTTCACACCATATTTCTAGACACAAATATAAAGGTTTTCTTGAACGTGTATGTGTATTCAAAGATTTAAAAGTGTTAAATGTCGGATTCTTTTCTTTGACGAATGAATAAAATGTGCTGCTTTTCTCTGCTGCTCAGGTATCTGGACGAGTTCATTGGTTACACTGATAGGTAACAAAGGATGACCTATCGATAACTGCCAATTTTGATAGTGATTTTAATTGCGCATGTACATAAATTAATGTTAAATTCTACCCTTGTGAAGTCCATTATAGTCTCGTTATTTAAAAAAATGGGGATATCAATACTGCAACTTGTTTTTGATTTGTACGGATGATTCTATTATTGGAAAGGTACACATGTAGTACGAGAATTTTTTAGGCCCCGTCTCCCCCTCCACTTTGAAGTAATTGCAATCGTTACATGCATACGGGCCTGTATCAAATTATTCTAATTGCTTTATATCAGAAAAATTTGCGATGTTGTTTAAATTAGCAAATACAAATAAACATGGCAAATGCGCACAGTAAATTGTAAGTGGAAGTGACGTTTCTAATTCTCATGAAAATCGAAACTGTACCGAATGTATTTCTTTTATTTCCTCGAATAAAAAGAATATCACTATGACACGATTTTACGGGTACATGATTCAATCTAATTAAAATTAGATCTTCCATCCGCTCCCTGATTTTCTTACACGGAAGAGCGCCTAAAATATATACATTCCGAGCTTTCAGAATACGAGAGAAAAAAATGAATAATTAAAATTTTTTTAACAAGTGCAAAATTGTTTCTGAGAAAGCCATGTAGCTGCATACAAATATTCCAAGCCATTCTTTCGTGTTTATTGGACTAAAAGAGATAATCATGTATTAGTTTCTTTGGGTAAGTGGAGGTACCAGTTTTTGCTGCATTTGATTTCCGGAATTTTGCATTGCATTTCCGACAATTAATGATTTCATTTCTAACATTTCATTCTGGATTTTTACACTATACTTCTAGCAATTTAAAGTTAACAAAGAAGATGGAATCATTATTTTAACAGAATATATTTGGTGAAAGTAACACAAGTGAACTTGTGATGAAAATTTATTAAACGTAAGTCAAGCAATAAAAAGTTAAAGTTTGTATTTTGAAAAATAAATCAAATCAAGTCACAGAAAACAAAGACAGGTTGTAAAGGATTGACACTAATTCCTTAGATTGATTGATTGTATACTATTTAACGTCCCTCTCCAAAATATTTCAATGATATGGAGACGTCACCATTGTCGGTGAAGGGCTGCAAATTTAGGCCTATGCTCGGCACTTACGGCCTTTGAGCAGGGAGGGATTTTATCGTGCCACACCTGCTGTGACACGGGCCTCGGTTTATACGGTCTCATCCGAAGGACCGATAAATACTGAGTGACAAATTCCTTTTTACTATTTAAACTCAAATTGATAGGTAAATAATTTAAGCATATGTCAAAAATAAACATTTGAAATAATTCTTTTCATAAAATTAAATTCTGTTGAAACAATATAAAGCACTAGCCTCGCAAAGACAGACTTTAGAAAAAATCAGACGTGGAATCAGGCGTAATTCAGGAATTTAATCCTTTTATGACACCACCTACCCCGTAACGAGACAGTTGTATATATGTTCTCATCGAAATGACCGGTCTCCGCGTCTTGAACCTCCAACGTACATGTTTTGCATGTACTTGAATAATATGTATTAATAAGTTTTTAAAGAAATCTCATGTAGGAAACCTGATTTATATTCTAATATTTTTTTTTATTATTATTATTATTCGTATTTCTCAATTCATCATGTTCGAATTACATGTATTTATTTTTTTTAGGGAACATTAAACCTTATTCGTCAGCCAGTCTGTCCATCTGTCACGAGAACTTTAAACTTGATAATAACTATTGAATGAGTTGAAATAAGACTTTGATTTTTCACATGTGCATTATTTGTGACATCTGATTTTCAAATATACTGTGATTTTTGACCCTGTGACCTTGATCTTGGAGCTTGACCTACTTAAAAAAATAACATTACTTTAAATTGACCATACCTTTTGAAAGCTTCCATTTTATAAAAATGTATTAACTGTGACAATACCTTTCAAAACTCACTGATTTTTTACCCTTTGACCTTGAAGTTTGACCTGCTTTTCAAAAACATTAACAATACTCATACCTTTTGAATGAGAAGAGATAGGGCTTTTATTTTATCCCTGTGTATTATCTAAGACAACTCTTTTCTAAATACACTGACTTTTGACAACTTGACCTTGAGGCTTGATCATAACTTTTTAATGAGAAGAGATAAGGCTTTCATATTACACAAACATCACATGTATGTAACCTGTGATAAAATCATTTCAAATACTAGTATATCATGAACTTTGACCTTGAAGTTTATCGGGCTTTTCCAAAATTTAAACATTGCTTAAAATTGACCATAACTTTTTACACATGTATATTAGCTGTGACAAGGCCTATCTAAACAAAAGGTATGGCTTAAATCATGCAGAGTGCGTTATGGCCTTGAATCAAGGTCATTTATAATAAGATATTTTGGCTGGATGCATTGTTTGAAAAAACATGTGTGAATTTGTCAATACGGTAGCACACAAATGAGATATGCTCATCACCAACGTGTGTTATGGTGTGACCCAAGGTCATTCTGACAAGGTCAAGGTCGCAAACATTCCTTTACTATCCTTTTTTAATAGTAAAACATATTAAGATGATATCTACCCTTAAAAGATTGCTTTAAAATTAGAACGTGGCATGACCTTGACTCAAGGTCATTTCTCTCTCCGCAGCTCCGACGGAAGACCTACTCGTTGCTTTGCAACGAGCTCGGCTCTAGTTCAAGCGTACTATGGTAAAACAATGTATTTCCTATTTTATTGGCTAAAGATTTTGCATGTTGAGAGTATTTTATTTATGTTTATATATTTTACAGACGTAGTACATGGTGTTGGGAGTACATGTATATGATATTTTATCAGATAAGTTCAAATATTGCATGGCAAAATTTAAAATTATTGACAACAAAAATTATTATGAACAATCTCAAAACACAGATTGTCTCAGCATACAAATTATTCACCCTTTCATTGTCTTTTTTTAATTACTGCATGTTTACATGCTTACAACAATGTATGCAAGTTATATTTGCTATCAAATAACAAGAAGACAAAAGTAACACTCATTCCTTTTGTATTTTCGCTGGTACCTTACGAAATAATGTAACAATAAGGTAAAAAGTAAATTCATGCAATAGTATACAATTATGGACTTCAGTGTAGGTCGATATGTGGTTATAAGGACTCATGGCAATTGATATTGACCGAAGACACAGAAAGTGATAGCGACCGAGCCTGCGAGGTCGCTATCATTTTTTGTGTCTGAGGTCAATATCAATATTGCCATGAGTCCTTATAACCACATATTGACCGTTCACTGAAGTCCATAATAGTTATATTATATAATCACTCAAAGTGAATGCACCGACACAGTCCTAACTGAACAGACTCAGCTGTCATTATGTCACAATGGTTAAAACACGCTTCTTATATTATGACGTCACGTTCTACGTAACTTTGGTGCAACCGAACAGTGTGTCGTGCGATATCATTTTCCGCGGACGCGCTTTCGCGTCGACATCACAAAAGGAGGAATATCACGTGACGTGACGTTCTTTCAGCCAATGAAAATTACCAAAATAATCCTCTTATATAATATTAATGTTTGTCTTCTGTAGACGTATTATCCTGTCAAGCTACTCAGGAAAGGAGTTCTAAAAGACAAGCGTGTATTGGTGGACCAGTGGCCAGATTTCAAGACTGTTTTAGTAACAAACAAGCAGGTCAGACCCCAGAACATTTCCTATACAATTACAGTATAAAAACGAAGGCCAAACAATTGATATGAAACAAGTAAGCCAGTACCAACCAATGATAGGTAGTATATACTTATAAGGCCTAGCTATCACGCAGCATCCAATTCCAATTGCTGATATCACCATTTTTTTTTCAAAAAGTCATTTACTATTCGAGAAAGCCTATTAGGATCAATCTAGAAAGAAAAAAAAAATTTCCTTTGCAAGTAGGCCAGTAGTACGAGTGCGAATGGGGTACCCCCTCCACACATACACACTTTTGAGAAAAGTCTTGCTACAATTTAAATATAATAATTAACTATGGGTTTCTTGGTTCCTGACCATTTTGTTGCAGTATGTAAAACTGTGGAAAATTATTGCATTTAAATAAAGTTTTACCGAGAAGTTTTCCCACGAATTTGGCCAGTAGAGGGGGGGGGGGGCTATCAAAAGTACGAGCCTGTTAAATGCAGAATAATGGTTATTCAAAAAGCATAATAACTTTTTTGGAAAGGCATAATAACGCCTTTTAGAAAAGCGTAATAACGCTTTTTAGAAAGGCGTAATAACACTTTTTAGAAAGGCGTAATAACGCTTTTTGAAAGGGGTAACAACGCCTTTTGGAAAAGCATAATAACGCCTTTTAGAAAGGCGTAATAACGCCTTTTGGAAAGGCATAATAACGCCTTTTAGAAAGGCGTTATAACGCCTTTTAAAAAGGCGTAATAACGCCTTTTGGATATAACGCCTTTTTGAATGAAAGGCGTAATAACGCCTTTTAGAAACGCGTTATAACGCCTTTTGGAATGGAAGGGCGTAATAATGCCTTTACAAAAGCCGTTATAACGCCTTTTTTTCGCGTTATTACGCCTTTCCAAAAGGCGTTATAACGCCTTTTTCGCGTTATTACGCCTTTTTAATATTTTTTTCTCTTTAGATTGATCCTAATAGGCTTTCGTAATTCGAATATTCAATCCAAGCAGAAAATACCACATATTTGAAGGGGTGATTCTCCAGTATCACTAGAATTAAAACTTGAGGAAACTAAGATCAGAATTTGAGTTACTGTTTTGCTTGCAGAGGATGTCCACCTCAAACCGGGTATACTGCTTTTGTAAGGACGATAACTCCACTTTGGTTGATTCCATTCTACGTCAGGTGTCCAACGAACTCGGGAGTTCTCTTGTCTTATTTGGTAATTTTCAATTATTCATTTGAAGCTTATTATTATTTTTTGGTTGAATTTGAATTCTTTTCTCTAAGGTTGTTATTTCTTTAGGCTGCAGCCCGGGGATCACTGACGAATTAATCAAAATGAATGGTTCGTTTGTCCGACGTCTTATAGAAGATACCGGCATGTTAATGTTTCCAAGGGAAATCTTCAGAAAACCGTAAGTTGTTATCGAATCTTTTCTTCTGAATACAAGTCTATAAGAGTCTCAAGTATCAGCAGTATCGTATAAGTTTACAAATTATTTCTTCTAAAAAAATTACTATCGTTGTTATCATGGTGAAAATGTACTTGTAAAGAACGAGGGCGCTTTTGATTGGCATTCGGCAGGAATCTGGGCGTAATTGAAAAGTGAAAAAAAACGAGCATAAATGTTACAATTTCACAAGGTCTTTCAAACTAAATAAAAAAAAACCTATGGACATGTTTGTAAAATCTGACCAGCTATATTCAGCAAACCAAATCATGGACATTTAAACCATAAATGTTTCGTACAAATGATTCCTGCAGATAACTCGCTAAATGCGCTCATCTTCTTTTTATAGAGAATGTTATAGATCTAGAACAAAATGAAAATGACTTAATCACATCCATGTTTAAAATATAAATTGGATTTTTCTATTCATATTTTAACTACATGTATTCAATGATTAGGTAAGTATTCATTATAAGTAATTGCAAGGCATGTACGAGTTTACAAAATAATCGTCTACATATTTGAATTAAAAAAGTATGATAATTATATTTCTTATAACGCGTTAATGAAGAATCTTATATTGTGTAGCGGAAGCAGCAATTGAAAACAAGATGAGATGTTTGACTGTTCCTGGGTTAGTAGACACAGAGAACAAAGGGGGTCAAAGGCTTTGGCGGGGAAATATTGACCAAAAGCTTTTTTATACTTATTTATTCAAGCTTAAGAGTTAACTTTTGATTTTAGAACTCTAGAGATGTGTAGACTTTATTTATAGGAAGTTGTTACAAATTTATTTATATGTTTAAATAAAACATATTTATTTTAAGGATAAATAACACAAACTTTTTTGCGAATTCAGCAATATTTCTCATAGATTTACATTTAAATTCGTAACCTGAATAATGTTTACCAAGAATATTGGGAAAAATTTCATAAGAATTTGTCATAACGTAAAAAAAAAATTGTGCCAAATTATGTATGGAATTATATAGAAAGCAAAACAAAGTCTCATATCTAAGCCACAAGGAAAACCTTCGATTTCTTTATATTTCAGGGATTTAGTATTTAATATGTCATTTCAAATCAAAATCAGTCAAAAAATATATTTCAATCCATGCATCAAACTTTTGTTTGTGTTAAGTACCCATATATCAAGTTTATTATTGAAAGTTATTTCATAACTTTCAATGGCATCTGAAAGAAAAAATACTTTAAATTAAATCTATATAAAATCAATACCATCACATATTGTACAATGTTTAAAAGAATGTTAAAAATTTCATGTAACTCATTTAGGTTCTTTGTGTGTTTAAGTAAATATCGTTAGAAACTATCAGTTAAAAACAACGTTGAAATTCCGATGAACACTATAACCATTTTTTTTTTGCTCCTTTGTCATATAGTAATTTTTGTATTTACTACCACCCGGTAAATATCAAAAATAACAATATGATACCTTTATAAGACGACCTCCTTCTATATTTCTATTTGAGGCAAAATCTATCTTAAAAAAAAATTCTGCACAAGGAAAATATTTCCATTCAATTTGATATATCCAAATGATCTCGAAATAAAGGGCACATCAGTCTACCACATCCGCTTCCTATTTAGATGCCTATTCAATATAGACGGTAAAGGACAACTAAGGCCACACCAATATTTTTTTTTGTTCGTCGGACCGGCGCGCTCGTAATTAAACAAAACTTATCAAATAATATCAATTTAAACTTATCAAATAATATTAATTTAAATTTCCGGCACCATGGGAATTCTGTGCCATCTTCTGCTCAATTTCCGCTCTATTTATTGTACTTTTAATCTACTTACTCTACTTATAATTATCCGCTCAAATTTTTTCACGCCCCGCCTAAAAATTTTGCGTACAATAAAGTAATAATATTATTATTTAACCGCTAGCCCGCTCGTACTTTTTTCTTCAATGTCTTGTTCGTCGACGAACAAGAAATTAAATTGGTGTGGCCTAACTACTAAATTGTATGACAAACGAGATGACTCTAACTTTTCCATCATCAATTTTACCTCTATTCACGCTTATACCACGTATCACCTGCAAACTGTATTGAAGAAAACAAACAGTGATCGATCTTTAAACCCTTTCAAGCTCACCAGGATATATCGTATTGACATAACAATAGAAATAACCATTATTAACTGACAATGCCTCGTCGATATACATGGTATCTAAATGTCGAATTGAAGACCACCGCAAGTGTTTTCTTCTTTTAACGAATAGGATTTTTGACAAATTCTGTTTTATATGAATACAAAGATAGGTACATGCTAATAACAGGGCGCAATTGGTACCCATGGGAATTCCAATACATTGTTGAAAATCACACGAATATTTTCCATCAGAAACTTAAGCACTTCTCAATATCAACTTTAGAGTACTAGTATGTACAATCAGAATGCTTTTTAGCTCACCTGAGCCGAAGGCTCAAGTGAGCTTTTCTGATCAAAATTTGTCTGTTGTCTGTCTGTCGTCGTCGTTGTTGTCGTTGTTGTCGTCGTCGTTGTTGTCGTTAACTTTTCACATTTTAGACTTCTTCTCAAGAACCACTGGGCCAATTTCAACCAAACTTGGCAAAAGTATCCTTGGGTGAAGGGGATTCAAGTTTGTTCAAATGAAGGGCCACGCCCTGATTCAAGGGGAGATAATTGAGAAATAGTGAACATTTGATGGTATGTTTTAAAAATCTTCTTCTCAAGAACCACTGTGCCAGGAAAGATGAAACTTATAGGGAAGCATCCTCAGGTAGTGTAAATTCAAATTTGTTCAAATCATCATCATAGGGTGTGGCCACAATGGCCGTTAAAAGTTTTACATAGGAATATATAGGGAAACCTTTTAAAATCTTCTTTTCAAGTACATGTACTTCAAAGCCATGATTAGTAATATTTATATGGAATCATCTTCATGTAGTGTAGATTCTAGTTCGTTCAAATCATGATCCCCTGGGGAGTTAAAATTAAAGCCCCCCCCCCACCTCAGTAAACTTTCAGTTCTGATCTGATATGTGCTTTTCCCTAGCCGATGTGCTCAGGTGAGCGCTGTGGCCCCTGGGCCTCTTGTTAACAAAATAATTTTGCAAATGACTTATGGTAAGGTAAGTAATTTTAAGAGTTCCATTTGTATTGAAAAAGCAGCTGTCGATGATATCAAAAAGCCTGGACTTCAAATCATCGTGCATGGGGAATAGTTGTATACAAAGTTGAAAAGTAACTTTTTATACTGTAAATTTTGGTAAAATTTTGTGATTTTCCAAAAGTTTCCTGGAATTTTCAACCATCCAAATCTAATTTACTTCATTTTTAGTATATTGTTGCACAGTTCTCCTGATGTTTCTCTTTCACCACTGTTAATATTTTTGTGAGAAATAAAGATAGAGGCTTGGTAGAACATATACGGGAACCTGCTATGTATCTATTAGGATTTCTAAGAAGTTTTGGAATCCAATATATAGATATGGTAATTCAAAGTTCATTCTGGTTGTTGGGAATACAAACAAACAAAGACAATGTTGTTACCTGCATACGATTTTCAGATCCGAAATACTTATGTAAAAGAACAATATGTATTTCAATGCAAGAGTCAAGAATTATTAATTCTAGGTAGTCTGTACATACTCGTAAAAAAATACTAGTAGTTACGAACCCTACGATCTATGTTGTCTTTTTTCAGTACACTTCCTGATGACTTTAAAGAGAAACGTTTAGAAGAGGAAAACGTGGAGTTAGTCCTCAGTAATTTGCAATATAGAGAAGCTAAAGAATATATTGTACACATGATTAACATATTGCCAAGCACGTGCATTCTCAATAAAGATGGCAAACCAGTAGCTTGGATACTTCAGCAAGAGTATGGATGTTGTGGAATGCTGCATGTGATGCCAGAATATAGAAGATTAAATCTTGGAAGCATTGTAGGACAGCTTCAAGCCGAAAAAAATTTTGAAAATGGCGATGAGGTCTATTCATGGGTAGATAAAACAAATCATCCAGCACTAACTTATAATCTGAAAAATGGTGTAGTTCCTTTGCCCGATTTTATTGTAACTTGTTCAGAATACATGTACAGAAGAGTGACAAATTAAAGACTCATAGAATTTAGATAT